GGAGACCCAGAGGTTGTCCCTGGCTTCTGTCATCACCCTGGCCCAGCCTCAGCATGGTGGGCTTTTGGGGAATGAACCAATGGACAGGAGGTCCATTCTCTCTCTCTCTCTCTCTCTCTCTCTCTCTCTCTCTCTCTCTCTCCCTCTTCCTCTCCCTTATTCAAATAAGTAAAAATCTGAAAATAAGAAAACCACAGAGTTTGTTTTGGCTGCTTTAATGCCTTCCTCAGTGCGTTTCCTTCCTCTGTGTGTCTCCCCCTAGGACTCCGTTTCACATGAGCTGGGAGGAATCCCTCACTTTAATGGGTTAGAATGAGCCCATTCACTCTGGGAGGGTATTTTCAGTGGATATGGAATTCTAGGCTGGTGGAGTTTATTCCAACACTCAAGTAAACTTGCCCTCGGCTCTCCTCCGGCAGGGGTCCGTGAGGATCCCATCACAGTTCTCACGCTTGTTCCCTTGCGGCTAAGTTGATCCTCCACTCTCACTTCTTTCAAGAAGCCCCTTGTCTTCGGCTTTCTGCAGTTGGAACAGGACACACCGGGGCCTTGTGCAGAGGACGAAGCCACACTCTGGACACCCGCAGCTCAGGGCCGGCCCCAGTGCCGGCTCCTCCGATTCCAGTCCAGCTTCCAGTCACTGCACCTGGGAAGCACAGGGGATGTCTCAGTGCTGGGCCTGTGCCGCCCACATGGGAGACCTGCATGGGCTTCCTGGCTTCGGGCTTTGGCCTGGCCCAGCCCCCGCTGCTACAGATACTTGGGGAGTGAATCGGCAGATGGAAGGTCTCTCTCTCTCTCTCTGACTCTGTCACTGTACCTTACAGATAAATAAATCTTTAAGAGATAAGTATGATACGCACGTACATTGACCTATTTATTATTATTATTATTATTATTTGCCTTGCTTGGCACTTGACAAGTTTGCTGGAGCAGTAGTTTGCTGTCTGTCACTAGACTTGGAGAATCCTTGATATTATCGCTTTGAACATTTATCCCTCCGTTCTTCTGGTGTTCTAACCACACGTGTCTCACACCTTTTCAGATTGTCACCAAATTCTTCGATATTTTTTATGTTTTATTTATTTTCCTATTTGCGTTTTGGTTGGGTGATTCCTACTGACACATATTCAGGCTTCTCTCCCTGGCCAAGCTCAGGCCACGCATGAGCCCACGAGAGGCAGACCACATTGCAGCTGCAGAGGGTGTCCTCCTTTTCTGTCTCCCTTGTGAGTTATTACCTGCGTACATTGGCTCACCGGGGCCTCGTTTCCCAAGGCTGTCATCACCAGCATTCTAGCAGAAACACAAGCTGCATTGGGGAAGCCGTGATTCAGAGACACGCTGACGTCCAGCAGGCGCGGGCGGTTCCCAGAGGAGGTGTGAAGTGGTTTTCACACTTCTAAAGGCTGTTAACGGAGAGAGGGAACCCCGAGGGACGTGGTGCAGACACAGGACGCTGGGTCCTGTGAAGTGTGTGCCAGCAGCCTCTGGGCTGTGGGTGCCCCGAGAGCAGCCGGAGCTGTCACCGGCAGTGCCGTGTGGGGAGGACACGGTCGCAGCCCTGCAGACACCCTGCGACAGTAATCTGGTTTGGTAATTTGGTATTGAAATAAATTTGGGGAGATTTCCGTGTAGTTAGTTGCTCCTCCCTCTGCCAGAAGGAGGCATGAAGGGATCTTTCTTGGCTGTTCACCGCAGGGAACTCCTGGAACTCTTGGAGGTGAAGACCTGTGACAGCAGAGACCTCCCCAAGACTGTGGCCGGGGTCTCCTCCCGTGCCAGTCCACATTCGGCACCCAGAAATTCTCCAGCATCAGCACTCGTGAGCTCCTGGCCCCCACCTGCCGCCGCGAGGCCTCCGGAACACACCTCTCTGTGCCCCACTGCGTTTCATGGATGCCGCGTCTTCCCGAAAATATTAACGCTGGTTTCCCCATCCGAGTTCTCCCCAGCTCTCACCCTGCTTAGCGTCTGAGATCAGAAAAGAATGAGCCTGTTCAAGGTGGTGTAGCCACAGCCTCACTGATGGCTGTAACTGGTTTAAGACATCTTATCTTCCAAGACCTTCAGAGAACAAACCAGAAAGTCCCTCACACGGAGCCATGTTAGCTAACCGTGCATCTAATCAATGGCTTCTCTCCATATCTGAATAATACATTCAGAATTCAACAATAGGAAACAAACAGCCCAATTAAAAATGGCTGAGCTATTTAGCGGATGCTGCGTCAAGCAAGATAGGTTACAAAGAAGTGATTAACAAACTGCCCCGCATCATTAGTCATCCTGAAAGGTGAAGCATAGACCCACCGGATGGTTTGGCTTCCACGTCTTAGTATTGATCCAAGAGAAACGCAAGCATTTGCCTTCATGAAGATTTCCCATGGTTGTTGGTAGCAGCTCTATAAAGTCCAAAACTGGCAGCCTGCGGTATATCCACGTACTAGACCGCTGGGTGGCAGTCAGATCCCATGGCCGCTGGGCAGACACCAGCACGAAGGTGTCCAAAGACTCACGCGAGGCAGACAGCAGCGCCTGCGTTTGGTTTCTTTGACACAAACTGTGGAAGACACAAGCCGACCCCCAGGGACAGAGAGCAGAGCAGAGACTTCCTGGGGAGGTAGAAGGGGCAGGGAGGTGCCCGGAGCAGTGTTTCTGGGGTGATGGGCTGGTCATTGTCTTGGCTACAAGGAGGTGTATCAAACAGGTATATTATCAAACTGTATACTTGAAATATGTACAGATTCTTATTTTATTGTAAAACCAAAATAGATTTATTTATTTATTCATGTTATTTATTTGACAGAGTTAGACAGTGAGAGAAAGAGAGACAGAGAGAGGTCTTCCTTCTGTTTGTTCACCCCCCAAATGGCTGCTATGGCCAGAGCTACGCTGATCCGATGGCAGGAGCCAGGTGCTTCTCCTGGTCTCCCATGCGGGTACAGGGCCCAAGCACTTGGGCCATCCTCCACTGCCTTCCTGGGCCACAGCAGAGAGCTGGACTGGAAGAGGAGCAACCGGGACTAGAACCCGGTGCCCATATGGGATGCCAGCACCGCAGGGGGAGGATTAACCAAGTGAGCCACAGCGCCAGCTCCCCACCCCCAAATAGTTTTAAAATAAAAACAAGTAGGAGGCCCCGTAGTGTACAATTCAATTCACATGCAATCCTGGTACAGCGCCCGCTACTGCACAGTGACACGTGTCAAGTCAGCGTTTGCCTGCGGCCAGGCCGAATCTCAGGATGCCGAGAACGTCTGGCTTTCAACCGTGAGGGGGTGCGTCCGGGCTTGGCACGCTGCACAGTGAGTAACCTCCAGCCACCGCGGACTGGATCCGTGGGATTGCTTCTAAGAGAGACAGGGGTTTAAAGAGCCGCCATGAAACGTAACTCCAAGACTCCAACAAGGGGCCAGTGATTTGGCGTGGCGGGTTAAGCTGCAGCCTGCAATGCTGGCGCCCAACATTCCTGGCCCAGCTGCTCCGCTTCTGATCCAGCTCCCTGCGAATGACCTGGGAAAGCAGCGGAAGACGGACCAAGTGCTTGGGCCCCTGCACCCATGTGGGAGACCCAGAGGAAGCCCTGGCTGTAGTGGCCATTTGGGGAGTGAACCAGTGATTGAAGATCTCTCTCTGTCACTCTGCCTTTCAAATAAATAAGTAAATAAATAAGTCTTTAAAAAGAAACGAAATCCAGCAGAAACGAAGGAGAGCAATTAGGGTACTGAGCTGTGCTCTTTCTTCAGCCGAGCGGCGGCGCCCACACTGGGGCGCTTCCGGTGACTGTGAAACGCAGCTGTACTGGAGACACACGGGCAGGACGTCTGGGCACGCGGAAGTCTGAGTCCCCGTGCTGGGAAGCCCCACCTCCTGGGGCACAGACGCCCCTGCAGCAGAGAGATTCTTGGAGCGAAGACCACGCTTTGTTCTGCGCGGGTGACTTCAGCCCGCCTCGTTCTGATGGTCACCCTGCTGGGAGTGAATCAGAGCCCTCTGATTGAGTCGGGATGACAAAAGGCTCCTATTAGTGACGCGCTGGGATGTCTAAGTTGTTGCTTTTTAAAGTTGTTTGCTCATCGGCCCCCTCCTGCACGGCTTAAATGTCAAGCAGAGACTGCAGATGAGCAATGCGAAGACCCCACACTGTGGTAGTGCCGGAAGCGTCCTATCAGGCCTTCCTGGGACCCTCCCCTGGGAGGCTGGGATGGCTTTAATTACTGGTGAAGGAACGCAGGGCTGCAAAGATCAGCTATGATGGCATGAGAAGAGTATGTCGAGGTCGCTGCAGATGAAACCCTGCCTGTGGGGCAGATGAAAGCCGGCTGAGTCACGCGGCCGGGAGCCCCGACCCCGCAGCCCACAGGCCTTGCTCAACGGGGCGACCCCCGCCCGCCCTGGGCCCCGGGGTTGCAGGGTGAGGGCTGGGTCAGCCCTGCTTGCTTCAGGGGCCGCGCTGGGAGCCAGGGGCACTGCTCCCCACGCCTGGGCAGGCCTGTGCGCCTGGGTGACAGCCTCGGCTGCCGGAGAGGACAGGGAAATCCACACACCATGCATGGTCACGACGGGCTCCGGGCAGGCACTGCCGCAGCGGGGGCCCGGCTACCTTGGTCCAGGGTGTGGGGGTGTGGCAGTGCAAGGCTGTGCCAAGGCGAGGAGACTTCCAGCTTGGCCATGCTGAGAACCCGCGCTTTTCCACCCCGTCCCCACGGCGGACGGGGCGAGGGCAGGAAGACGGCGTTTCCATCGCTTTCTACCTTACAGCAACCTGGCGGGTACATGGGACAAAAACGAGTCACGGGCTTCGCGCTTTTTAAACAGAACCCAAGCGTGAGGCAGGTCCTCTGCTCTGGGAAGGGGGGGACGCTGGAGCTGGGAGGGGGCCGGCCTCTGGCAGCCCTGGGCCCTGAGAGCTCAGAGGAGGAGGGGCGAATGGGGCTCACCTGGGCGGGGCGGGGTGGGGCGGAGTCATTTCTCTGTGTTTTTATTCTTTCACAGCCTCACCTCAGCGTCTGCCCTCAGAAGATGGAGTCCCGTGCTCACGGCCGACGCAGGGCTCCCAGAACTCCCGGTGTGCCAGAGGATCGGAGATTCCTGGCTCCAAACTCCTGCCAGGGTCAGGATCGCCCGCGCTCCTGTGGGTGCCGTCGGGGGTCACAGTCCGGGGTGCACAGGCGCAGAGCTGACCGCCCTGCACAGGAGCCGCGGGAGCCGCGAGCTGTTCCCGGGGAGCCGGGGGTCCTAGAAGGCTGTTACGTGGTACACAGGACGAGGCGTCGGCTAGGGAAGCGAGGTAAGCTGACTTTAGAATATTGGGGGTGGGGAGGCGTGTGTTGTCAGAGCGCCAAGGCAGGCCGGCAGTGACACAGCCCGTCCCCTCGTCAGGCGGAGGAGGGAGCGGTTCTGCCCATGGTGTCAGGCCCCACGGCGTGGGGATTTGGGTGCCATAAGAGCACCCAGGAGTCTGTGGTGTGAAGGGTCCTCACTCCGGGATCCCGCACCTGCAATCCTTCACGCCAGGGCGTTACCAGGAGACGCCTCTGGGAGGCGCTTTGGTCCTCAGAGAGGAGCCCCCTGAGCAGAATGAGTGCCCTCGTGGAGGGGGCTCGTGACGGGGGCCGGCGCGTTCCCTCACCTCCACGGCACGGAGGCCCGGGGGCAGTGTGGTCTACCGTGGGGACAGAGCAGCCCAGGGTCTTGTCTCCAACGTGGGAGGGAGCTCTAAGGTGCCATGTGGACGACGGCTGGCAGAGGAGGAAGACTTGGGAGCCAAGTGGCAGTGTGGGTGTGCTCCCGAGGGGGCTGCGGCCCAAGGGGTCAGGCGTCATCCCTTACGCGATCCGGAGGCACAGGCTGGTGCTTTTCTGGAATTTGGTGACGGTCAGTTTTCTGGCCTTCGTAGGAAGTCTCGGGTGCGTCATGGCGTCAGGTGTGTGGAGGCAGCAGTGACAGTGGATTAGGGTGACGTGACGACAGGCGGCAGTGTCGGGGCTGCAGTCAGCGGCGCGTGGGGTGTTTTGGCCAGCGCCAGTTCTGGCTGTGGCGTTGCTGTAGCAGTGATTTGGGTTGTGGGCCGTGGGAGGAGTTTCAGAGACAGCCTGGGAGCGCGGGTGCGTCTGTGAGCGAGAGAAGTGATTCCTCTGGCTCTGTGTCCACTGCCGTCTCCTTACCTGTAAAGCTGGGACCAGGAAGAGGCCCTCGCCAGACGTGGAGTCTACTTGACCTTGGAGGTCCAGCCTCCAGAGCTGTTTAGAAGAAGCCATCCGCCTGTGACGCACTGTAGGGCAGCGAGAGTGGACGCTTTTCCTGTCCTTAGACAGGACTTTCTCTGGGGGGGGGGGGGGGCTGGATCTTAGTCTTCAAGGAGATGTGGTTTGGACGTGGTTGCCTCCCCAAGGCTCATTGCTGGGAGCTTCCTCTGCCTACAGGGAGGCAGGCAGCTCAGGGCTCTCTGGGTCTCGCGTGACGTGGCCCACGAGAGGGGCGTTCTGCACAGGGCGAGCCTTGCCCCTCCCTGGTCTCGGGCTTCCTGGCTCACTATTTGATTTCTTCCATGGGTGCTGCCCTCCCAATGTCCTCCGCTGGCCAGGGTCATGGCCACAAGGAACCTGAGCAGCAGCAGGACAGCCAGGGCTGCCTGCGCGGTCATGGGCTTTTGGCTGCCAAGAACCATGAGCTGGGTGGGCCTCGGGCATTTTGTTACAGCGACAGAAAATGGACCACAGGTGAGTTAGGGTCGGGGACGGGGTGAGAGCCACAGAGAATCGAATCTGAAGATCCGGTTGGATTTGCCATGTGTGAGGTCTGCCGAGGCCCCAAAGATAAAGACTGTGGCTGGTTGCAGGCTGTGGAGAGTCTGAGACCACCTGCTGGGAAGTCTGATTCTCTGCATGGTGCTGGGGTCAATGCCAAGTCACACAGCGACCGCCCACACACATGCATGGCCACACACACTCACATATACACACATCACATATGCACAAACTTACATATGCATGGCCACACACAGACACTCACACATACACACATCACATATGCACATCCTTACACATGCATGGTCACACACGGACACTCATGCATACACATATCACACATATGCACACCCTTACACATGACACATAGTCATATACAATGTCTACACGTGAATATACACCTTATAAAACCAGATACAGGCACAGGCAAACATGCATGCATACACACCTACACAAAACGTGTACACACACATGTCCATGCATGCACACATTCACCCCCCGACACAGAGCACGTGTGGACACGCACACGCACACATTCGCATGCACCAGCATGGACACTCTGGCCTCACGAAGCCCGGGAGGCTGAGTGATCAGTTGCTCTATTCGCACCTGATTTTTCTCCTATGTGGGCAAGGTGGTTCCTGTGCCACGTGCTGGCGTCGGTCGACTCTGGGATCATCGAGGCCGGCACAGAGGACAGCTGCGGCCGCTGTCTCCTCCCCACTCTGGTCTCCCACCGGAAGCCCTCCCTGAGCCCTCCCGAGCAGCTCGACCGCCGTGTGGCTGCTGGTTACCTGGGAGTCTGCTCTCGAGGGAGGCGCTGTCCTGCTTCGGCCACGTGCTTCGGCCACACTGTCACGTGGCCGGACAGCTCTCACCTGACCACTCTTCTTCCCTTTCTCAGAGGTCCTTGGTTCTTCCTGGGTGACCATTCCCTACTCAGCGCCCTGGAAGCAGCCTCAGAGCAGCCCTGTCACCCCGCCATGCTGCTCAACAAATCCGGCGCTGGATGGGGAACCTACCTCCCATCTGTCCCCGGCCCACTGAGGCTGGGTGGGAACCTGCCTCCCTTCTGCCCCCTGCCCACTGAGGCTGGATGGGGATCTGCCCTCCTGTCTGCCCCCTGCCCACTGAGGCTGGGTGGGAACCTGCCTCCCGTCTGCCCCCTGCCCACTGAGGCTGGGTGGGAACCTGCCTCCCGTCTGCCCCCTGCCCACTGAGGCTGGGTGGGAACCTGCCTCCCGTCTGCCCCCTGCCCACTGAGGCTGGATGGAGATCTGCCCTCCTGTCTGCCCCCTGCCCACTGAGACTGGAAGGGGAACCTGCCTCCCGCCTGCCCCCTGCCCCCCTGCCCACTGAGGCTGGGTGGGGATCTGCCCTCCTGTCTGCCCCCTGCCCACTGAGACTGGAAGGGAAACCTGCCTCCCGTCTGCCCCCTGCCCACTGAGGCTGGGTGGGGACCTGCCCTCCTGTCTGCCCCCTGCCCACTGAGGCTGGAAGGGGCACCTGCCTCCCGCCTGCCCCCTGCCCATCGTCCACTGGGAGCCACCTCTGCCGCTGTCCCACGCCCCCCACCCCCAGAGGCTGGCCAGGCTGGATCCAAAAGGCGGTGCGGAGAAGAATGCTTGAATTCCAGTAGCTATTTCTGTGTTGTGGATCACACAGAAGACAGGAATCCACCAAATATCTGAAACGAGTTTGTTCAGATCGGGGCTCCACTGGCGCACACGTGGGGCTGGGAAGAGAAAACGGATCGGGTGCCGGCGACTTGTGGCATCTGATGGCTTGGATTTGGGGCACATCTCCCCAGAGGCGCGCCCGGACCGTGCAGCCGCAGCAGCTGCTCTGTGCTCGGCTTTAAGGACCCGAATCCTCTGTGCCTCTCGCACCTGCTGTTCTTGGAGCAGAAAAGGAGGCACACAGAGAGAGTTTTGCTGAATCCGTGACAAGACTCAGAACCAGCGCAGGCGTTTGGCCCAGGGGTCCAGCCCCTGCGGGGCCGCCTGCACCTGTGCTGGGTCCCCACTGCTCCCAGGGTTAGCTTTCTGCTGATGGGCGCCCTCGGGGTCAGCAGGTGCCGAGTCCCCCTCACCTGCGTGGGAAACCTGGGTTGTGTTCCTGGCCCGTGGCCCAGTCCTCGCCGCTGAGGGCATTTGAGACTGGACCTATGGGTGGGAGGTCTTTCTTCACCTCTCTGTCTCTTGCCTTTCAAATCAGATAAAAATAAGTGATGATTGAAAATAAAGCTACAAAAACTGAGATGTAGTATGTCTCTTGAATTTTTTTAAAAAATGATTTATTTATTTGAGAGGCAGAGTTACAGATAAAGGGAGAGGCTTAGAGAGAGGTCTTCCATCTGCTGGTTCACTCCCCAAATGGCTGCAATGGGCTGTGCTGATCCAAAGCCAGGAGCCAGGAGCTTCTTCCGGGTCTCCCACACGGGCGCAGGGGCCCAAGGACTTGGGCATCTTCCACTGCTTTCCCAGGTTATTAGCAGGGAGCTGGATAGGAAGAGGAACAGCTGGGCTTAAGCCGGCGCCCCTGCAGGATTCTGGCACCACAGGCGGAGGCTTAACCGTTCACGAATATTGATAATACATACAGCAGGCTTGATTTTTTCACTTTGTATCCTCTGGTCAAAGGAGTGGCGCAGAGCGCACACAGTGCACAGAGGGGTTGCTGAGGAGGGCCAGTGCTGTGTGAGGCTTCCTGGTGTGCACACAGAGCTCTGCTGGAGGCAGTGACCCCGCAGAGCCACAGGTGACATCCGAGCAAGGACACGACTCAGCTCGGAGACCTTGTGCTGGGAACATGATTACCAGAGCCCACACGTCCGACCCAAGGGGTGAGAGGAGCCGGGGAGGGCGAGGTTTGAGCAAGAGTGGTTGGAGGCCACGGGACAGCCACAGAGCGCGGCACAGGGCTCGCATCCAGCCCGGGACTGGCCTCGGGTGACACAGAAACTGCTGGAGAGCTCAGACCAAATCCCTGAGGAACCCCCACGCGTGTCACTGAATGCTCACATGTAGGCTCTGAGAGGGGAGCATGGACTGTACTGCCACCCTGCCCATACTTGCCACGCATGTCACTGCGAGTTCACATGTCAGCTCCCTGCCCACACATGCTGTGTGTGTCTGCGAGTTCACATGTCAGCTCCCAGCCCACACATGCTGTGTGTGTCTGCGAGTTCACGTCAGCTCCCTGCCCACACTTGCCATGCATGTCACTGTGTGTTCACATGTCAGCTCCCAGCCCACACTTTCCATGTGTGTCACTGCGAGTTCACATGTCAGCTCCCTCCCACACTTGCCACGTGTGTCACTGCATGTTCACATGACAGCTCCCTGGCCACACTTTCCATGTGTGTCACTGCGTGTTCACAAGTCATCTCCCTCCGCACACTTGCCATGCATGTCACTGCGTGTTCACATGTCAGCTCCCTCCCCACACTTGCCATGCGTGTCACTGCATGTTCACATGTCAGCTCCCTGCCCAGACTTGCCATGCATGTCACTGCGTGTTCACATGTCAGCTCCCATCCCACATATGCTGTGTGTGTCTGCGTGTTCACATGTCAGCTCTGAGAGGGGAGCGCGGACTGCACTGGCTGCGTCCGCTGCGTCTGCAGAGCCGGGGGCTGGCCAGGACAGGTAACACGCTGCTTCACGCAGATCCACGTCTACCAAGTCCTGGTTGGATCGTGTCCACACCTGTGACTCCAGGACATTGTGTGACCACTGGGGCTTAGAGGTAGCCGAGGTGAAAACTTGCATTTCCCACGGGAGGGCTGTTTCTTCTTGCCAGCTTCCCATCAGACCCCGGGGCTAGGGCTCCAGACACGCAGCGGGCAGTAGTTTCTGTTTCCCAGAAGGCAGAGGAGCCGCCGTGGTCTGTGTCCTTCTCCCAGCAACAGGCGGAGCAGGGAGAAGAGGTCTCTCCAGGACGAATCTCATTCTCAAAGTGTTTACTCTGCAAGGAGCTGAACTGTTTCTGTGTTCCTGGATGAATGAGTAGAAAGAGACTTCTCTGTCTTGGCCTCCAGTGAGGTTACTGTACCTGGGGGAGCTGGCGTTGTGGCATGGCAGGTAAAGCTGCCGGCACCCCATATTGACGCTGGTTTAGGTCCCGGCTGCTCCATTTCCGATCCAGCTCCCTACGATGGCCTGAGAAGGCATCAGAAGATGGCCCAAGTGCGTGGGTCCCTGCACCCACGTGGGAGACCCAGACGAAGCTCCTGGCTCCTGGCTTTGGCTTGGCCCAGCCCTGGCCATTGCAGCCATTTAGGAAGTGAAGCAGTGGATAGAAGACTTCTCTCTCTGTAACTCTGCCTTTCCAAAAAAAAAAAAAAAAAAAAAAACAACCACACACAGAAGAGTGTAATTAGGTCCCATCCCGAAATCTGCCCCAAATGCAACGATGCGGTGATGCGGGGGACACCCTGTGCCCCATGAGAGAGAAGTGACCAGAGTGGTCTTTGAAGCATCCCCACTGTTCACGCCCACTGCACTTGGCCCTGGCTGTTGGAAAAACTCCCAGAGCTCCAGCTCCGACAGGATGGCCCGTTCTGTGTGAGCCGTCAGGTGCGCGGTCACGCGTGTGGGCAAGTGCGGAGGTAACCAGCGCGGGAGGAGAGTGAATTGTTGTCACACGGTGCTGCCTCCTTCAGTAAGAGACTCCGTCCTTCAAAGCTCTGGATTGACAAAAACTGCTATTGGCATGCAAACAGTTGTTCTACATGGAATCCTTTGATGTGGGCCCAAGAGCATGATGGGAAATTCCCTGGCACTGAATCCCATTTGTGTGGCTCCTTGTCATTCCACGGGACACGTGTTCTAGAACTCCCCATCGCGGGGACAACAAACGCTCGTGTTTGCTTTGCAAGCGTCCTGAGACTTCCTTTCCGTCCTCAACAGAGTCCCCAGCAGGATACCCGGCACAGCCTCAGAACAGCAGGTGCGCACCCGGATTCCTCGGGACGGTCAGCAGTCCGCGCAGAGGCCCACACAGGCTTCTAGATGCAGAAGCTCCCACCGCGCGTTTGGATGAGTGAAGGAGCCGTGCTCACGCAAGCCTGGCCCCTGGCCCCTGGCCCCTGACCCCTGGCCCCTGGCCCCTGGCCCCTGGTCAGCAGTTCTGTGACTGCTTCAGCAACGTAGTATTTACTTCAGAGCCACCGGAAGACATGTATCTGTTGCTCAACTTCAGCCCTGGCTATAGGTCGGTGGGCCGCGGAGAGTTAAGTGGGGCAGGGGAGCACGGATGGGATGAGAGAATTCAAGAGAGCATTCCAGCCGGGAGCCGGCAGAGCTCCTGGAGCGGGGAGGGGGCAGCATCCCCTCATCTGCAGGCCCCACTCCTGTACTGTGACCCTCTTCTGCTCTGCAGGGCAGGGGGGGGGCTGCCGACCCAACAGATGCCAGGTGAGGGGTGCAGGCGCCATCTTCCCGGTCTGTCGCGGGCCTGTCACCTGGCACAGAACTTTCTGGTTGACACGGCAGCATGTCCCTGGTGCAAAAGCCTGAGAGCCGGCTCCGTGTGGAGCCTGTGTCGCCTCCAGACTCAGGATCTCGCCCTGCACCCCCTTCATGGAGAACAAAGTGGTGACTAAAAGAGAAAGTCAGGGGAAAGGTGACAGCTAAGCGAAGAGAGGCAGCATCACACACAGAGGAAGGTCCATTCCCCAGGGCAGGGGGCGTGGCCGTGAGAGCCAGGGTCCATTCCCCAGGGCAGGGGGCGGGGCCATGAGAGCCAGGGTCCATTCCCCAGGGCAGGGGGCGTGGCCGTGAGAGCCAGGGTCCAGTCCCCAGGGCAGAGGGCGTGGCCATGAGAGCCAGGGTCCAGTCCCCAGGGCAGAGGGCTTGGCCGTGAGAGCCAGGGTTCAGTCCCCAGGGCAGGGGGTGTGGCCATGAGAGCCAGGGTCCAGTCCCCGCAAGGCAGGGGGCGTGGCTGTGAGGTGACCAGAGGAGCAGGCTGGAAGGAAGGATTCCCTGGGGGCCGGCGGGTGACGAACCACAAGCGCCCTGGTCACCCAGCTCGCATCTGCTCAGTCCTGGACCCTGTGGACTCACAGATCCATCCATCAGGAATCCGTGACAAACACGAGTGGCATGTTTCTTCCAGAGACAGCACCTAACTATGACCTTTCTATGAATGGTTCTTCCACTTCCGGCTGACACTGTCCCTCTGAACACTGGTTCAGTCGTGGGCGCTCCGGCTCAGAGAGTGACAGCAGCTCGCGCCGTTTGTGACCGATGTCCCTCTGAACACCGGTTAAAGTGCTGGGGCAGACCCCCCGGCTCCCGAGCGACGTGCTCTGTGATCTGCCTGGGAGAAGGACTGTTCATCTTTTTGCTCCGCGGACAGTGCCATACCTGCTCCTACTCTTCCAAGTCCTCCCGGGGACCTGGGGCATTTAACATAGCAATTAAAAGAAACAAGGGAAAAGTTGTGTTTGCTGCCTACTCGAATTCTGGAGGCCATCGTGTCTCAGCAACGCCGTTTGCTTTCTCATCTTCCTGTCCCTGGCGTGGACCCAACAGGGGTGACATGGAAGAATTTCTAATGAGTGCGTCCCATGCAGCACGCTTGATCGGAGTCAGTTTTAGGGGAAAGCTCATGCGTCCCATGCAGCACACTTGATCGGAGTCAGTTTTAGGGGAAAGCTCGGCAGACATTCCCAGGAGAAATCTTCGGGGTGGGTTCACAGAGGACGCTGCACGGGTGTTTTGTGCTGCCGAACCCCCACTTCCTTCCGCGGGGCCTGCAGCTGGGTGCTGTGCACGCCGAAGATGACTGGACTCCGGGAGAATCACAGGTTCACCATCGCTGTGCCACGCCAGGCGCTGAATCGGGCGTCAGAACCACAGCAGGGCCAGGACTGGCATCCTAGTGTGCGCCTGACGTCTCACGTGGTACGTGGGTCGCTTTATCAGTTCCCGAGATACACCTACCGGGTGAAGTCTACTTGTGGCCGCGTCCATCTCTGTGTCTGTAGCTGGGTCTGTCTGCTGCTCATCGGCCTCCCTCTGTGTCCACAGCCACGTGCGCATCTGCTGCTCATCGGCCTCTGCAGATGCCTCTCAGAGGCTGCGCGGCCTGCACGTGTCCTGGGCTTGCGTAGTCACCAGCTTTTTCCAGCCATGAAGAAACGGAAGCAGGACTCGGCTGGGCCTTTTCACACCTACCTGGCGTGAAAGCTCTAAGCTCTACTGTGAGCAGAGCCATATGAATAACGCCGATGCGTGTTTTCAGGGACGTGG